ATATATATATATAAAATTGATTACTTTGGTTTCTTGATGAACTTAAATATTTCAAAATGACATTCTTCTTCAGGAAGTGACATCCTTTTTAGTGTAAAAAAAAACAATGAATTTCTGAGGTGTTTTGACTTTTCTCACTTTACCATTCCATCATGTCAGATTAAATTACAAAAATCAATATAATATAAAATATAATATAAAAAAATATATATATACTATATATAAATAATGATGATACATGAAAGATAATTACAAGTTGTCAAATTAGGCTGACATTGGAAACAGGCAATATTAATATTAGTGTTAAATATAATAACATAAACAGCTACTGGGGGAAAAACATGAAAACAGGGTTTTTGAAAAATGTAAATTGGTTTATTGCTGGTTTAAGATGATTTACCAGCTAGACTTAAACGATCGACCAGTTCAAAATGAGGCACATTAGCTAGTGATGCAGCTGATTAAACCAGTTTGGACTAGGCAAAAAATGTAAAATCTAAAACTAGCTACCGTGTTTTGAAGCCGAAAAGTTAATCTAAACAAAAATAAATAGTTGTTCATCTAAACCTCTTGGTTGGCCATGTTGAGCTTGGTAGTGAGTTCCTCTCGTATGGTCTCCAGTTGCTGTTGCAGGTGGTTTCTCTGCTCTTCCAATGACAGACGCCGGATATCAAACTGTTGTCTCATCTCCTGGGAAAGTAAAAATAAAGAGAAAACATCAGAAAAGCCATAGCAGGCCCAAGAAATGAGAGGTGAAACCAGACAGCAGGACGATCTGCTGTAGACAGATGGAGTCTTTTTCAATTTAATTACACAGGAGCTGTAAAAGAGCTTTGTTGAGCACAGAGAGGTTTTCAAAAATAAAGTGACATGATTGTCATGAGATGACAAGAAGATTAGTCTCAATATTTGTCGTGATTGAGAGCTTTTTATGGAGTGCCACAAAAACAGTGGGAATAATATCATTGTCACATTGTCATCACTGCAATGAGAAATGTCTGTTTGCATAATCAACAACACTCAACAAGGAGCAGAAAATGTAATTTGGCATAGCTCTCAGGGTTTCAATAGATGATTTGGGAACAGTGATAATCCACCAGTTGTGTTTAATAGGACTAAATATTCATATTTTTAATTTGTTTTGCATTAAGACGTTGCAGTTTATTTTTATTAAACAGAACACAGAGAATAACAACAATCAAAAGAGAACGGGAGTAAATATCTAGTGCGAAAATGCTAATAAAGCGAAAACATAAAGCTCATTATATATCTAAATTCATATGAACAAATATTCATATTAACTTAAAGGTTCACCCAAAAATTAAATTTGTTCACCCTTAGTCCAACCAAGATGTAGATGAGTTTGTTTCTTCATCAGAACAAATTTGGAGAAATTTAGCATCACTTGCTCACCAATGGATCCTCTGCAGTGAATGGGTGCCGTCAGAATGAGAGTCCAAACAACTGATAAAAACATCACAATAATCCACAAGTAATCCACGTGACTCAGACCATCAGTTAACATCTTATGAAGTGAAAAGCTGCGTGTTTGTGAGCAAGTTATGTAATGCAAAATTTCTCCAAATTCTGTTCTGATCATGAAACAAACTCACATCTTGGATGGCCTGAAGGTGAGTACATTTTCATTATATTTCCATTTTTGGGTGAAATATTCCTTTAAGTACTGAATTCATGGTAAAAAAAAAAAGTTCTTACACTGAGCAACTGGTTCTTCTCTCTCTCAGCGGCATTGCGAGCACTTTCCTGCTGGACTCGGTGTTTCTCCTCGAGTTCTTCTAAGGATTCTGCTTGGCTTTCTTTCAGACAGGCCGTTTCCTCCTCGTATTTGGCCCTGATTCGCGCCAGCTCCATCTCATAGTTCTGCTTTTCCTCACAAAGCGACTGCCAAAACAGCACAGCTTCATTTACACTTTGTCAAATCTCGATACCTTGTTTCGAATACCATGATAATTGTTTCCAACTGGCAGTGACCGATTTCAAAATGTTTGTGTAGACCACATTTGCCATGTATGAGTATATAGTCCCAGTCCCAAGGATGTAACCAAATATTCAAGATTGGGAGGGGGGGCTAAATGTAAAAAACAAATAATATGTCAATAGAAAACCCATACTTATCATCATGCAATAAAATGAATAATGGAGGGAATGTGTTCCTCTGAATGTCTTTGGTGTTTCATCAATGTAGCCTATCATAGCATGGAACTCTGTAATGATAAATATGTAGATTACTGTGATTATTGATTGAATGTACTGTTATTGTTATGCCATTTTTTTTCTGTTGATGCTGTAACACCTTAATTTCCCTTTGGCGATCAATAAAGGATGTTAGGACGTTTGATCACAAATACAGTAATATTGTGAAATATTATTACAATTTACAATAATGTTTTCTATTTTAATATATTTTATAAAAAAAAATTTTTTTTCCAGTGATGGCAAAGCTGAATTTTCAGCATCATTACATCATTACTCCAGTCTTCATTGCCACATGATCCTTCAGAAATCATTCTAATATGCTGATTTGTTGCTTAAGAAACATTTCTTATTATTATCAGTGTTCAAAACAGTTGTGCTGTTTTATATTTTTGTGGAAATGGCGATAATTTTTTTCAGGATTCAGGAAAAATCAGAAGAACAGCATTTATGTAATAAAAGTATTGCAACACTTGCAAAATCAATAATTGCTTCCAAACAGGTTTTTAGTCCTGCCTCCCGTCTGCCTATTTTAAGAAAAAAGAAAAGGTGAAAAATGATTGACCTTCTCCAAGTTGAGGATCTTCTGATGCTGTTGTTCTTCCAGTGTTTGAATCTGTTTCTGAAGTCTTTCTCTCTCCTCCTCCAGCTGTAGGATCTTCTCCTTCAGGCGGTTCTGCTCGGAGCCCAGATCCCTGATAGTGGCCTCGTGGCTCATTTGGGTTGCTTGAAGAGAGCCTATCTGACCTGTTAATTAAATACATGGGTATTAGATTAACGCTTCCTCAAAAAATAAATATGGTATATTATTTGTGAACATGAAGGAGTCAATCGCAAACACAAAAACTATGTAGAATTCAGTGTAAATTCAGAGTTAAATCCATCTCTGCCAAGCTATCACATAACTGTAACCTCTCTAAAAAAAACCTCTCACACTGCAGCTGGAGTGATTCAGTGTCATATGCTGAAAAAAATGTAATTTGGTCATGAGATTATTCTCACTGGCTTTGTGAAGGATTTCATTGGCCTGCTGCTGAACTCGATCTCTGCTTCCCTCCAGCTCATATTCTGTATCTTTCAGCTGCATCACCCAAATCTCTCCATCCTGTATGGCCTCTTCCAGCTGCTTGTGTAACTCCTGTAAATGGGAAAAAATTTCTTTTTTGAGATGCATTATTATTTTTTAGAAAGCATCAAAACTTACAAACTCATCTCAATGATCTTTACTTCATTTCATTATTTACTGTAAATTGTAAGTACCAAAGACATTTTGTGTTTCTTCAGCTATGGCTTATTTTGGAACTATGTACTCTAAACACACTTTTTACACGTATACACTGATGCAATTTGCCCAGGAACAATGTACATACATGCATCACAGGACAATTCTGTCAAAATTCTGAACCATCACAAATATTTTCATAACTGCCTAATTTCCAACACATCTCAGACAATGTAGTGTGTTCAAAAGCATTCTGTAATGGAAATCACATCACATTTTAAACATATCGAAATACATAAACTGCCTCTTTTGTCTTACTAACGTTAATAGCTAGAATTCTATATATTCCAAATAAACACAGTTAAATATTAATTTCACACTTTTTGTGAAATTGCAGTTTGGAAATGCACAATATCTTTCTTTTTTTTTATCCGTCACATTTTCATACTTTGTCTCATGACATTTCTTCTTCTTGTAGACAAGGGCACTTTTGATAAAACATACTAATAATTTGCTGAAATTTCAGCTTTGCCATCACAGGAATAAATTGCAGTTTAAAATAGAAAAGTTTTTAAAATTTTTATTATTTCACAATATTATTATTTTTAATTAAATAAATGAAGCCTTGGTGAGTATAATGATTTCTTTCAAAACCATAAAAGAATCTTACCAACCACAAACTTTTGAATGGTAGTGTACATTGAAATGGTTTACTTTGCTTATTGTTTAGATTATAGATATAAAAAATGTGTAATACTTATGATAGATTTCCATAGTAAGATTGAAATTCTATGTCTGGGAAAAGGGTAAAACAATAAAAGGTATATTAAATGTAATAAAATTAAATTATGTAGACATTTCCAAGACATTTTCAATATGACTGTAACATAACAGAAATAAAAAAGTTTTAATTGAGTTTTAATAATCAACCTAATAAAAGTGTCTAGAGTTGAAGCAACACCCTTCAATGAATCTCCATGTACTGAAAATGTTCAAATCATTACCTTAATTGTGACTTCTGCATTGTTAAGAGACGCCTGCAGTCTGTTGGTCTTGTCCCTGCTTTCTCGTGCCTCGTCCTGAGCTCTGTGGAGTTCAGCACGGAGTTTACAAAGGGTCCTCTGAAGAGCTGACTCCTGCACCTGAAACTCCTTCCTCAGTTCCACCTCCGTCCTCTTCCAGGCCAGCAAGTTCTCTGTGGTGAGCTGCTGCGTTCGCCTCATGGCCTCCAGCTCGCGTTCATAGAACCCTTGAGCCTTGCACATCTTGGCCTCGTATTCCTCCACCAGTCGGACTTTGTCCTGCATCAGCTCCTCCACGCGCTCCATGAGCGACTCCAGCTCCGTACTGTGCAGCTCGGCCAGTTTCTCCTGTTCCAGGCTGGAGGACGCACTCTGGTTCTGCTGGCTTTCCAGTAGCTCCTGGACTTCCTGTCGGTGGACCGACTTGAGCTCCTCCAATGCCCGCCGTTTCTCCTGTTCAAACTGGGCTTGCACCTGACTGAAGGAGCGCAGCTTCTCTTCGAACTCGTGCCGCATTTCCTCCATTTCACGTGACATGGAGACCACGCGTTGTGTGTGTTGGGCCTCCGTGCACAGCTGTGTGTCCTCCATGCGCTGCCGGTACATCTCGAACTCGGCTAGCGCTTGGCGCTTCATGTGTTCGTGCAGCTCCACGGATTCCTCCAAGGACTGCAGGCGCCGTTTCAGGTCAACCTCGTCCCCGATCTTGCTCTTGTAGTGAAGGATCTTCTCCCGAGCCTCTGTCAGGATGTGTTGAACCTCCTCATCGTGGGCCTCCTTCAGAGATTGGATGGCATCTTCGTGCTCGTCGTTTTTCGTGTTGAGGGCATAAATGACCTGTGAGAAACATGGATGATGATAGTTTTTATACAGCTGCAGAAAATTGGAAACGTCACATCATTTCTAGACAGCCTGTCTGTCTTTCATTTCATTCCCTCTAAATATCTGTGATTAACTCAGCTGTCAGCACCCTTAAAATCTGTGATTATGCGATCGGTCTTCATGTTTACTGAAAACAGCAGCTGTAGTAAGATTTCTGAGATTCTTTCACATGGAATAATCCACTTATGAGTCATTTTAAAACTTTAAAGTTAATTATATTAAGTATTGGCAGATACAATCACAAGGCAACACGTGGCAGCAAGGTATGGAGACCAGACCTTAATTTCTTCTGTGGAACAGACACAAACACACACACAAAAGATATTTTGAAAAATTTCTCAGTGTTTTATTTGTCAATGAAATTTGACCCCATTGACTTGCATTGTATATAAAACAGCATTCATTAAAATATCTTCTATTGTGTTCCAGAGCGGACATACAGGTTTGGAAGTACATGAGGGAGAATAAATGACACTTTCCGCAGTTGATTACTCACAATTAATTAACACAATTGTTTTGTATTACAAGTTGTTGGAAATATAATGTTTAAATATGCAAATAAGGCATTGTCTAATTCAATATGCACTGATTTGCATATATTTCCAGAACAGAAATCTGAATACTGGATAAAGCCAGGCTCAAAATTCTTGTTTTATTTTGTAGACAGTGTTAAATACACAGGGGTATTTGATATATGAATAAACCCCTCAGTAAAAACAGTAAATCAGAAAAAGCTGTCAACAGCTGTAAAAAAAAAAACATAATTATTAGGTGAATGATATATAAATGAACCCCTCTGAACACCTCCAGAATGTAGACAGGAATAAAATTGGAAAATGTGTTGTATGTAAGTGCTGCTGAAGTGGAGATTTATAGCTCAGTGCATGAAAAGTGCAAGAAAAAAATCATTTTGAGAAAATGGCATATGTAGCTATTCTATTGGTAACACTTTATTTTAAGGACCAGTTCTCACTATTAACTAGTTGCTTATTAGCATGCATATTACTAGCATATTGGCTGTTTATTAGTACTTATAAAGCACATTTTAATGCATTATCCTGCATGACCATATTTTAGATCCCTTAATACCTAAACCTAACAGCAACTTAACTAACTATTAATAAGCAGCAAATTAGCAGTTTATCAAAGGAAAACTCTTAGTTAATAGTGAATGTGTGTTCCGTTCTAAAGTGTAACCATTGTATTTGAAATCCACGGATGCAAACAGATAAAATATCATAAAATAAACACTTAAATGTTTATTTTGGATGTTTTCTTTCCACTAGCCCGAAAGAAGTCAAGTTATGGAAGCAAAATAACATAAAATCTCAATGCATGACAAAAACAATGGTTTTGCCAATAGTGTCTTGCTTAAAGCCAAGAAATACTTCTCCAAGCCACATGTGTCCATCTGTGACACCTCTATAACTGTCTGGTTTGGGTCAGCCACCAAATAAGACATATAAGAAAACTGCAACGAAAGGAAAAAAGCAACATAAAAGGGAGGAAAAATCATTATGGATCCATCAGACCAAGGACACAACCTCTTTTCACCTCTGGCAGGCATCACAGAGCACTGGCAACCAAAACAGTTTATTTCCACTGGCCCTTTCAATATAGTGCAATATTCTCTTAAGCATTATTAGGCAATAAAGATGTACATTATGCAATCATATATTCACTTTTATGCTGTTTCAATACACTATATCCACTTTGCACACCCTTGAACAAATATTTAAATGCGTATTTTTAGACTAGAAGTTATACATCTTCTTCTTTATGCATCTTCTTGCATGCATAATATATATTTAGAGCGCTCAAAGCTCCTGTAAACCAAATCAAATTCCTTGTATTTCTATAAAACTCTTTCTGATCTGGACCAAACTCTTGATTTAATAAACAAGAGTCAGTATTAAAAATTTCCTTTTGGAGCCAAGAGTTTTTCCAGCCAAGCATTTCATAATCATGACTTGCTTTCGTTGTGCTTAAGAGTTGCACATCAAAGCAAGCCGCCTTCACTTGCTGCTCTCACGCTGTTGTTCTCCTTTTCATCTTTAATTGATTCCTTTCTGTCGCATGTTATTAACATACTGTAAGGAGCCAGGACGCCCTATTCTGCACAACTGTAATTATGCAAATTAGCTCTACCTAGTTTAATTAGTGTATTAATACAGTCCATGACAGTTTCAAACCCATAAAACTGGATTTTCCTGAACAAAGCTTTTCTTACCATATTGAAGAAATGGATTAGATGTGAATTTAAATAAATGATTTGGCTGGAGTCTGAGAAACCTCAAGGGTACTTTAATAGCTTGAAAACATACCTATCATTTAATTATCATGTTTATACTCAATGACTTAAGATAATCTTATGAGAACATACAAACACAATTTCAACTTCATAACATGCTCCAAAATACTTTGCATTACTTCATATGGGGTCTCATAAATAAATGTTCACATCTTCTGATTAGTGCACAGTGCACACCAGTGTTAGTTTAGTACAACTGAGATACTATTGTAATTTTATTAATATTTTGAAAAAAAAATTATATTTTATGTTCTCATTTTAATTTTAGTTAAATTTGAGTAATTTTGTTGTGTTTTTGACTTTTTTAAATATATCAATATAGTTTTTATATTTACATTTATTTCAGTTAATATGTATTTTATTTGTGACCTTTTTATGGTTTACTATAATACTGTAGTATAATATCTGTAATAACCCTGGTTTACACAGTATAGTTTATTTAATTTAATATATATATATATATATTTTTTTTGCAATGTGTTTTTGTTGTGTTTAAACAGACCCCAGGCAGAAACACTACTAGAATACTAGAATGAATACCAGTCACATTTCTGTGAAATGCATGCCTATTTTTTGGTAAAATCTTTAAAAAATTCTGTCTGTTGGATTTTGTTTACATCGAAAGAACATATTAAAAGCATCTGAAAGGGAAATTAAGAGGTTAAATATTGTTATTGTTTTCACACATCTAGGTCTGGGACACTAAACATAAAAACAGTGAATACGCAATCTTGAATCCAAAGCAAAGATTGCTCTTGTGTTGGGCATAAATTACACAACTAAATGAAATCAGAGGTAAAAAATAATAAGGCATATGCACTTTTGATAAATGTGGATGTTAATAAACTAGACTGATTATTTCTGCATTAGAGTCTCGTTATGTAAAATGCCTTGCTGAATTATTTTTGCAGAAATTAATCACAGATTAAATGCATCTTGCAAACCTTGTCTGGGATTATAAACAGATTTTTGCAGGGGGAAAAAAGGTGCAAAAATTGCAATATGTAGGGCATCATCTCTATGGGGGATAAGGATTAAACATCATGCAGAATCCTGCTTACAGTCTATTCATATTAAAGTTGAGATACTGTTATCAAAATACAAGCAATGTGATATTGCCTACCTTGGTGAGCTGTGATATTTTTTTACTCATCTTCAGGTGCAGATCTTGAGTGTATTCCATGGTCAACGCAGATTCGTAGAGTAAATGGCTGGATGTGGAGAATGGACTGGTGCCTGATCCAGAAGCAGAAGCAGCGGCAGCAGCGGGAGGATTGATGCCCGCAGCAGCGCTGTACGGCGGCTGCCAGCCCGTCCCCGTCGCCATCTTCACGTACTGCCACGATCCCAAATCCTTCGCAAACAGGTTAAGGATGATCCTGCGCCATCAGTATACCTGTCATCCATATGAATTCATGTAAACCCATCATGCTGTTTCTCTATACGTGTCGAGCTGCGACTGTTCACCTGACTCTCCACACAATCAATATTCTTAGCGTCTGATATTAGCGCTACGTGACAGATGTGGTTGTTATTGGTCTACATCAGTCAGTCATCAGTGGCGGGAACCGAATGACAATGAACTAACTGAGCGCTAAAATGTAACATTCGAGCATCATCACATTCACGCGCTGTGGCGGATGCGGCGCGAGGAGAGAGAGTTGTAAATGACGTCAGAGCTGCACGGTTACCTCACGCACTGCTTTTCTGCTGCAGATACGTGATGTAAATACAAACGGGCCTATGAATTATCGACAAAACAAAGCAACGCGACCTAAGACACACCAACAAGTGTAGTTTGCTCATGTTAGGAGTGATGCGTTGTTAGTTGTGTGTATACAGGCAATAATATAATATATTTTATATTTGTATAATATAATTTTACATTTACATTTAGTCATTTAGCAGACGTTTTTATCCAAAGCGACTTACAAATGAGGGCAATGGAATCAAAATCAACACAAGAGCAATGATATGCAAGTGCTATAACAAGTCTCAGTTAGCTTAACGCAGTACACGTAGTAATATAAATATAATATTCTGGTGTATTTGAGGAGTATTGTATAGTTGTGTGTATACAGGCAATAATATTACACAACGTATTTTATATTAATATATATCCAAATATAAAATTCTGGTATGTGTAGACTTTATTCTTTTATTAACATAAAGTCTTTATATAAATGTATCTGATTAATATAACTCATGTTTGTTTTTAACTAGGCTATGTAATTGTTTTGACTATTATCTTGACTACATTAATGAACTGAGACTCATTACATGTGTGTGTGTGTGTAAAATTAATATTATATATGTATGTATATGTAGTATATATTTTAATATTTATACTTATTTGTTTTTGTCGTTTTATATAAATTTATCTGACAATATTATTATATTATAGTGTATAAGGAGTATATTCTCTTTATTATGGTCTTAATATATCTTTATTTGATTAAAATACTGAAAACATTTGCACAACAATGATCTAAGACTCATTATATGTATGTATCTATACACATACTATATAAATTATTATATTAATTATTAATGTATTATTTCACACACACACACACAGAATGATCAGCAGTCCTTATGTGCTTTTGTTGAGTAATTACTGCCATCTACTGGTGTTTGAGTGATAAGTTTTTACTGATGTTTACTACAGCCAGCCCCATTTCAATAAGCAAAAATATGTTTGTTTGTTTTTTTTCAGCAGCTGGGCTCTTACTATCTGTGTGATATTCAGGAAATGATTACAAGACATTGCAAAAAATGTATCTAAAAGGTGTGGTGTGGGTCAACATTGTGCTTTCAGCAACACACCAAAGTCAACTGCTAATGCACACCTATAAAGAATCCTAGGGATATAAATTTTGAGCTTTGAAATCTTGGTTGTCTTTACAAAATGGCCTCCAAAATCAGAAAGCATGCATTAATATGTCTCTAATCTCCTGTGTGAAAACTCACAAAACCAAGTAACAGGAAACCACAAACATTATCATCAGAAGAAATATGATATAATCTTGTCATCTTCCTTCTTGACGTTGATGGTCTTCAACCCTTCTACATCTTATTTGGTCTGCCATTTTCATACAATTTTACAACAGAAAAGCATGTTGGAACATGAATTAGGTGTGTCTTCCAGCACAAAAGCACATTGCTTAATAGTTTTATGTCTGGATGAGGAAAAATAAACAGAGAAGTATTTTCATTTTTGATTCATAACATAATAATGGACTTCATGAGTAAATGTCAATGCATAATTCTTAATAATATTTTGTAAGTTTTATGTCTTTTTTTATAGCTTAATTACCATTATTAAAACATTATTTTTCACTTCTATTTGTTGTGGTTTAGGAAACTAAGTTACCCCTGAAGGACATGGTTAGGGAAACATTAACTCTATTCTCAAACTGAATGTTGACAGATGACGTCACGTCGTCGTCTTTTTTTTTTTTTACCCCGTGTGAATGTGAATGACTGTGACACGCGCGTTAAAAGTTGCTGCAACCCTCTTACTCAATCACTCGAAAGCAGTTGAACACATCGAAGGGACTTGAGGTTACCTGTGCAGTCGCGGATTCATAAGGATTGGACGTGGGTTGACAAATTTCTGATTTGAGGTAAACGCGGCGGTTTGTTGGCAGCTTACCTTGGGGAAAAGTTCTCTGCTGCTGGAAAGCGTTTGTTTTTATTGACCAGGATGAAACAATCAAAAAGTGCACTGGAATTGATTGACTTGAGCTTTCTGTCTGCTGAGGAAGAGGCAGCCATCCGTCAAGTGCTTCTGAGAGATGAAGATTTAAAACGACTGGAGAGTGGACGAGTCAGGTAGGAAATGGTTGTTTGACCTTCACTGCAGTCTGCAGGATAGTTCATGTGGAGCTGTATTGTACAAGTACCATAGACAAGTACGCATGCTTACCACAGAAACACAAGTACTGATGATGTATTTTCCTGTTTTTCCCCATTAAAGTTTTTAGGAAGTTACTGGTTATTTATTTATTTAAAATACATTTTAATTGAATTTATTTTAATTTTAATCACATTTTAGGTTTTAAAGTATTTAAATTTATTTGACTAATTAAAAAAATGTATATATGTGTGTATTTATTTGAGTGTTGGCATTTGTATATATCTAAACATGTTGGTATTTGAGAAAAATATTACTGTTAAAATAGCTAAATTTAATATAGTGAAAATTGCTCAATTTGATCCAAAACTGTCAGCAGTGGTGTCAGTTGGCATTTCGCACATTAAACTTGTAAATATGTTGCTGCCATACTTCAGCTTGTTGTTATGATAAACCAAGTGTGAGTATCTGTTGACCCATATTTAGTGAAAATAACATGTGTTCTGCATTTGCTACAGTCGGCCTCTGAGAGTTAACTGTGCTTACATAAAAGGATAGTTCATCCAAAAATGTAAATTCTGCCATCATTTGCTCCACCTCAGGTTGTTCCAAACCTATAAGAGTTTCTTTCTTCTGTTCAACTTAAAAGGTATTTTATGACAGAAATTTCATTTTGGGTGAACCCTGTTTGTGCTTTTTATGACATATCAGGAAACTGAGGCAGTCAGTCCCTGACCTTACGCAGCTGAGGACTTTGACAGGTGAGTGGTTTGAAGAGCTGAAGGTCAGGCGATACGGAGAGCAGACGGATGTCACAGCAGTGGTGAGGTCCTCCATGAGATGGAAGAAAACAGCAGGTATGCAGGAGTTCATGCCTTCCTTATTGAGCTCATGCTGTTATCTTTGAGTACATACACCACACCTGTCTGTCATTTCAAACTTTTGTATTCTGACTGAGTCATATATACATATTGCCCTTAGCTACTGTAACTGTGAAACTTGATTTTTGATATGAACTACTTTGCATCTAGGTTTGAATCAAGCAGTTTTGATTATGTCAGAACTGATTATATTTGCCATTTCTTTTTAAACTCAGCTCATAAACTCAACCCGTTCCTGAATGATACACTAGACAAGAACAAAGAGAATGGAAAGGAGGATCACAACACACTTTCAAAGTAATGGCCTTTATTTTACAGCACTGACATGCCAACCAAATGAATTTTAGATTGATTTTCAATATGTACATTTTTAGTAAATAGATTAATCCAGGACAAGTAATGATATATATATTTTTTCTGTCCACTGTAGACCGTCAGCTGACCCTAGATTAATTCATCCAGCCCTTAGTAAAGAGGTTTGTCTCAATTTATATATTTTATTTTTCTGTGAATATTTAGAATGTAAGACCAGAATTGTATTTTTATTTGATTTCATTTTTTATTATTTAATTTCATTTAATTTCATCTTTATTTATTCACAGACTTATCATCAATATACTGATGATGACGTTATGGATAGTGGTGAGTTTTAATCACATGAATAAACATGGATTTAATTTTTTATATAAATTAGTCATTGAGCAATCATGAATGATTTGTAGAGAATTACAATACTGTTCAAATCTGGGGTTGGTAAGATTTTTAAATGCTTTTAAATATGATCATGAAGTCTGTGATAATTTGTCAAAAAATACAGCAAAAACAGTAATATCGTGAAGTATTATTACAATTTAAAATAACTGTTTTTATTTTAACATATATACATATATATACACACACACACACACATATATATATATATATATTAAGGGGGTCTGAATACTTTCCGTACCCACTGTATATTAAAATGTCATTTTTGTCCTGTGATGCAAAGCTGAATTTTCAGCATCATTAATCTAGGCTTCAGTGTCACATGATCCATTGAAATCATTCTGATATGCTCATTTGGTGTTCAAGAAACATTTCATATTAATATTTAATATTTTTGTGTAAACTGGCCTTTTTTTCAGGACTGTTGTTTTATCAAATAAATGCATCTTTCTTTAAAAAAAAACAACAACCCCTGCTCACCCCAAACTTTTGAATGGTAGTTTATATTTGAAAAAAACAAAATAAAACAACAACAAAAACAACCAAAAAAAACAGTATTGTTTAAGATCGATTTGGTGATGTTTTGGTCATACTTTTCAGTACAAATGATCTGTGTTTACAGAAACTTCATCTGTTCCACGAATAGCTGGGAGAAAAGAAAAACTACGAGCAGAACTTGATGGCAATCGTGTTCTCAATGGCACTGACCCACAACCCAATTCATCAGAAGCACAACCCAAAGAGCTCTCTGGTGACCAAACAACAACAGTTTTTCCCTTCTTCAGTGCAGTTCAAGACACTAAACCTGAAAGAGGCACCATAAAAAATGCAACAAATCCAGAGCCGAGGAGAAAAGTTTCACTCCCTCCAGCACTACGGAAAGACCAATCATTTGAAGAGAACTGGGTGAAGATCTCCCTCGAACCGAGCACAGTGAAACCTGTGCACGATGAAAGCAGTAGTGTTGGGCCTAATCAAAAAGAGGTAAAATTGCATGTTGAGAATACAGAGGCCTTAAAGAAGCAGGACACATCAAGTCCAAACATAGAGCCTCCGTCTTTAAATTTCATGGATCAAACATCATTTCAAATTGTATCTCAAGCTGAACCTAAAGATGTTTTCTTAGAAAGATGTTCATCAACTGAGTTTCAGAATCAACCACAGACTTCCTTAGTTTTCACCAG